GCACCACACTATGAAGCAATCCAAAGCCTCTGCAGCACAAGTTCAATCCCCAGCCAGTCAGGGAGCAATCCACATGGTGCAGCAGACCTCTCCTGGTTCACCCGCTGCTCCCCTCAGCAGTGTATTTCACTCAGTCTGCCTGTTCTGTTTCCCACTCTGGTGAATCCTCTCACCAACCCCCCCATCTCTGGCCTGTAGCCGGCTCTTGTATGCATAAATAAATAAATCTTTAGGGAAAAAAATGTGTTTCAACAGGGAAGCAACTTAACCAAATGCAGCTGAAACTTCAAATAAAATTAAGATTCAAGAACTGACCTACTGGGTTTAGCAAACTCTTTGTTAACTCTGATAAGATCAATTTTAGTAAAGTGGTGGGGAAAATAAACTGAGGAATAAGTTCATAAAGAAGTCCTGAATTTCTCATCAAGTCTTTAGGTCCTAGCAGTTTACAGGAAATTCAGAGTAACATGTTAAATTACACCATGAAGACGAAACCAACAAAATCCAGACTGTGAGAAACACTAAAAGGACAAATAATCCATAAATTACAAGGGAGAGGGTGTATAAAAGATAGGAAATTTACAGATTGAAAATCACATAAAAGACGTATCATTCACAGTATGAGGAACTTATTTGGATCCTAAGTCAAAATGGAAAAAGAAAGTTAAAAAGTATAATATGTGAGACAAGTATAAATATGGACACTGACTGGATATTTGACATAAAGAATCATTATTCTGATGTGACAATGGTATTGTGGCTTATTTAAAGAAACCATATTTTGTATAGACTAGATGTTTATGAGTGAAATAAAATTATGTCTAGAATATGCTTCAAAATAGGAGAGGGGAAAAGTAGATGAGACACCAATACCAGTAGTCATGGGTAAATAACTGTTGTGTTGGGTGATGGGTACAGGGAATTTTTTATACAATTCTATTTCTATACCTCTTCAATTCTCTACAGTAAATTGTCTCAAAAATAGAAAGAGAACAAGTGCCATTTCCTTTGCATATTTAATCTGTTTACTGTACTGATAAAGAAATTAAGGTTAAGAAAAATTAAATGCACGGCCCAAAGTCATAGTTCAATCTTTAAAATAGACTTTAACTTTTTAAATAGAAGCTATTTTATTTTATTTAGACTTTATTTTAAAAGCAGTTTTAGGTTCACAGCAAAACTGAGCAGAAGATAGAGATTGCCCATATGTTTCCTGCCCCCACATAAGCACAGCCTCCTCCAGTATCAACAGCTCTGCACCAGAGTGGTAGGTACATTTGTTACAACAGATGAACCCGCAAACGACACATTATTATCAAATCACAGTTAATGTGAGAGGCAGGGTTTGACTCCAAAACCCATGCTTTTTACACTATATCACACTGCCAATTTTTTTCTCCATTATCAGTATTTTGCCTGTGGTTTTTAGAAACTGAGAAAAACCAAAATTCTGCTCATGAATAGGCAATAGAACAGAAGTCCACTATTATTAACAAATAATCACATTTAAATAATTTAAAAATATTTCAATATAAATTAACTATTTGTCAATTATATCAATATAATACATATTTCCAGTGATGCACATTTTAGTTATTTAACAAATACATAATAAATAAAGCACTGTTTGGAATTTCTCTCCACTTCAAACTTTTCTTCTTGTTGCTATAGCTAGTATTGGCTATCTTAATTAACCACCTTAAATGTCAAATATAAAACCTTACATTTTTCAAAGCAAATGCTATGTATGTTTTTTTTTTTAAGATTTATTTATTTATGCATACAAAAACTGCGGTACAGGCCAGAGGTGGGGGGGTGTGTGTGTGAGAGGATTCACCAGAGACAGGGTGGGGAACAGAAGAGGCAGACTGACTGAAATATACTGCTGAGGGGAACAGCAAGCAAGACAGGAGAGGTTTGCTGTGCCATGTGGGTAGCTCCCTGGCAGGGATGGAACTTGTGCAGCAGTGGTTTCAGAGAGCTTGACAGTGCTGTGCTTAACCCCTTGTGCAAACAGGGAGGCCCTATGCATGTTATTGACATGTACCAGTTATGAGTCTAAAGTGAAATCATGGCCTTCAGCAAATGTGACTGATAAAAGATAGCAATGAATAAGTCAAAATCAACTACAGCATACACTATGACTTGTTATCAAATTATGGATTTTGACTGGGAACTTTTACTGCAATGCTCATGGAATGCCCCTTGTTTCAACAATTTTACTTAGAGCAATTTATCCTAAAGCAATCACCACACAAAAACATATATACTAGGATACTTTCCAAAGTTCTAATCCTAATTTAAAAACAAACTGGATAAAATCTAAGTCACCATCAACAAAAATTGATTAAATAATACATAAAGGTAGGCCTTCCAGGTGGCACAAGGGGTTAAGTCTCAGCACTATCAAGCTATCCGCAGCCATGGCAGCACAAGTTCTATCCCTGGCCCGGGAGCTGACCCACATGGTGCAGCAGACCTCTCCTGTCTTGCCTGCTGCTCCCCTCAGCAGTGTATTTCAGTCAATCTGCCTCTTCTCTTCCCCACTCTGTCTCTGGTGAATCCTCTCACACACACAACAGCCCCCACCAACCCTGCACCTCTGGCCTACACTCCAGGTCTTGTATGTATAAATAAATAAATCTTTAAAAAAATAATAAAGGTTAATGCTATATACTCAGTAAAAATTATTATATTGTTATATAGATATTAGTGTTAATATGGAAACAATGTTCATGACATATTACTGAATAGAAAAAGCAGGTTAAAAACAATATGATAGATTGATAACAGATGGTTGATGTCTGGGAAGATACACAAGGAAAAATTAAAAATGGTTTTATCTGGAGGATGGGATAATATGTCACTATTTTAGACTTTCCTTTATTGTTTGCTTTAAAAAAATAATAAACATGTATTTTTATAATCAGAAAAAAAATTCCTTTTTTGTTTTGGTAAAATAAGTATATGATGTTGACCTCAAAATTTGACATAAAATACCTCTGTTTACTAGTTAACTTCACAAAGCTAACTACTAAATATCAGCATGAGATTTTAGTAACTTCCTACTATCCATTCAATGAAACTTTACATGCACTTAATATAGATACAAACTTATAAAACATTCAGTCTGTTGAGGGTTAAATTTCTCAGAAGGCAG